CGGTGTGGTGTGGTGTGGTGCACGGGCCACACAGTGTCTGGCCTTGGAATGGAACAGCAGCAGAGCACACAGTGTGTGCACGTAGTAGTGCAGAGAAACATGGGCTTGGTGCGATGTGCAATGCACACTGCACTGCACAGTGACCTCGTGGCTGGCTGCCCACTCGTCGTGACTCACTCACATACTGCCTGCAGCCGCCGCCGCGTGTGGCATGGGAGAGATGAAAACAGTGTGACGTGGATACATGGAATCGAATCAGATTAAGCAAGCAAGCAAGCATGTGCAGTGCTGCAGCGTACAGTGCAGTGAGGGCAGTCATGTAGCGGATTTCCCTGGGGATCTCCCCTGTAGCCTTGCTGAAGCCTCGAAGCGTGCTGCACACCACACCACACCCGTGCAGCATAGAAACAAGCAGGTTGGCACCAGTTAAAGCCGGGGTACAACACGACGGCTGTGGCGATACTTTTGGATGGTGTGCTGGCATGGCATGGCATGGCATGGCATGGCATGGCATGGATGCACGCATCTTGAGCAGGAGCCACGTATGCATCAGTCAAGGTCAGAAATTACAGACGAGAGGCTCGAGTCAAAGGGCATCGCCATGTGTACAGCACGGCAGGCACATTCGGGTGTTTTTGTGTACGCTCAACTCAAGTGCACCCACCACCACCAGTCAAGTCTAACATGCTACCACAAGAGTGCTTGCTTTTTGAGTCGACTCAAAAGTCAACTCAAGTGCACCACATCACCACCAGTCCAGTAGTAGTCCGTACTATCACAAGAGAGTGCTGGCTTCCATTGCTTGCATGCATGTCAGTGAGCGTGCTTACAGGTCCTGGAGGGTCTCGATGTGAGACAGCATGGCAAAGGAAGAGAGGTCCCCTGTGACCTCCGCCAGGGCATTCAGGCGCCTGGTGGTGCGTGGAGGGAGGGCGAGGGTGGTGAGGCACGAGGGGAGGTGTGGGGTGGACCGTGGAAGGTTGAGAGGGAGGGATGGTGGCAGGCAGGTGGCATGGAGATGGAAGGTGGATGGCAGGCACGTGCAGGCACGGGATGCTGGGACAGTGTGGTGTGTATGTGAGCTTTGAGACGTCTCAGAACTGGGACAGTGTGGTGTGTATGTGAGCTTTGAGACGTCTCAGAACTGGGACAGTGTGGTGTGTATGTGAGCTTTGAGACGTCTCAGAACTGGGACAGTGTGGTGTGTATGTGAGCTTTGAGACGTCTCAGAACTGGGACAGTGTGGTGTGTATGTGAGCTTTGAGACGTCTCAGAACTGGGACAGTGTGGTGTGTATGTGAGCTTTGAGACGTCTCAGAACTGGGACAGTGTGGTGTGTATGTGAGCTTTGAGACGTCTCAGAACTGGGACAGTGTGGTGTGTATGTGAGCTTTGAGACGTCTCAGAACTGGGACAGTGTGGTGTGTATGTGAGCTCTGAGACGTCTCAGAACTGGGACAGTGTGGTGTGTATGTGAGCTCTGAGACGTCTCAGAACTGGGACAGTGTGGTGTGTATGTGAGCTCTGAGACGTCTCAGAACTGGGACAGTGTGGTGTGTATGTGAGCTCTGAGACGTCTCAGAACTGGGACAGTGTGGTGTGTATGTGAGCTTTGAGACGTCTCAGAACTGGGACAGTGTGGTGTGTATGTGAGCTTTGAGACGTCTCAGAACTGGGACAGTGTGGTGTGTATGTGAGCTTTGAGACGTCTCAGAACTGGGACAGTGTGGTGTGTATGTGAGCTTTGAGACGTCTCAGAACTGGGACAGTGTGGTGTGTATGTGAGCTTTGAGACGTCTCAGAACTGGGACAGTGTGGTGTGTATGTGAGCTTTGAGACGTCTCAGAACTGGGACAGTGTGGTGTGTATGTGAGCTTTGAGACGTCTCAGAACTGGGACAGTGTGGTGTGTATGTGAGCTTTGAGACGTCTCAGAACTGGGACAGTGTGGTGTGTATGTGAGCTTTGAGACGTCTCAGAACTGGGACAGTGTGGTGTGTATGTGAGCTTTGAGACGTCTCAGAACTGGGACAGTGTGGTGTGCATGTGAGCTTTGAGACGTCTCAGAACTGGGACAGTGTGGTGTGTATGTGAGCTTTGAGACGTCTCAGAACTGGGACAGTGTGGTGTGTATGTGAGCTTTGAGACGTCTCAGAACTGGGACAGTGTGGTGTGTATGTGAGCTTTGAGACGTCTCAGAACTGGGACAGTGTGGTGTGTATGTGAGCTTTGAGACGTCTCAGAACTGGGACAGTGTGGTGTGTATGTGAGCTTTGAGACGTCTCAGAACTGGGACAGTGTGGTGTGTATGTGAGCTTTGAGACGTCTCAGAACTGGGCAGTGTGGTGTGTATGTGAGCTTTGAGACGTCTCAGAACTGGGACAGTGTGGTGTGTATGTGAGCTTTGAGACGTCTCAGAACTGGGACAGTGTGGTGTGTATGTGAGCTTTGAGACGTCTCAGAACTGGGACAGTGTGGTGTGTATGTGAGCTTTGAGACGTCTCAGAACTGGGACAGTGTGGTGTGTATGTGAGCTTTGAGACGTCTCAGAACTGGGACAGTGTGGTGTGTATGTGAGCTTTGAGACGTCTCAGAACTGGGACAGTGTGGTGTGTATGTGAGCTGTGAGACGTCTCAGAACTGGGACAGTGTGGTGTGTGTGTGATCTTTGAGACGTCTCAGAACTGGGACAGTGTGGTGTGTATGTGAGCTTTGAGACGTCTCAGAACTGGGCAGTGTGGTGTGTATGTGAGGTTTGAGACGTCTCAGAACTGGGACAGTGTGGTGTGTATGTGAGCTTTGAGACGTCTCAGAACTGGGACAGTGTGGTGTGTATGTGAGCTTTGAGACGTCTCAGAACTGGGACAGTGTGGTGTGTGTGTGAACTAGGGATGAGCACGTGGCGAACACGAACGTGTTCGCGTTCGCCGCGGCTCGAACAGTGCCGTTCAGGTTTCGCCGAAAGTAGTGTTCGAGGTTCGCCTGTGAAGGCGAACATCTCGAACACATTGGCGAACACAAACGTGTTCGCCAGGAACACGTTCGTGTTCGCCCCAGAGGGCTTAGCATTACAACGGTGGAAACCCTAATCGATATCCCGCTACTTCAACTTATGCGCGCGGAGTAGTTGCTCGCTCCCTTCTATTAGTAAGAGTCGTAATCAACTCGCCTAACCTAAGAGTTGAAGCAACTTTTATACTAGGCTAGTAGTAGGTGAGGGTGTGGCAGTGACATGATCGCGGAGGGCGGGTTAGTGGCAGCGACATGATCGCGGAGCTCAAAAAATGAGCAGGAAATGAATTGGCCGCGACCCTAAATGAGGTCGTGGCCAATTCGTCGACGAACACCGAGGTGTTCGTCAATGTCCCGCGTCGAACACGAACATGTTCGTGTTCGACGCGGCTGGGCATATCGACGCGGGCGAACATCGAACATGTTCGAGCCGAACATTTTTTGGCAAAAAAAAAACCCTTTCGGTTCGTCTCGAACACCGAACGGGTGTTCGGGTATATGCTCATCCCTAGTGTGAACTGGTGGTGAAGAGGGGGAAAAGATGCAATTCGAGAGTTCCGTTTGACGTTGTTGTGACACGCCACTTTGGTGAGCCGGGCGTGAGAAGTACATGGGTTTGGGGGCGAGATGGGTGAGGGGGGTGGACTGTGCTTGGGTTCTGATGAATGAATGCTGATGAATGAAGCAACTGAGGCAAGATTTTACTCTGCGTGTGCTATCGCAGGGTTTCGAACAGAGAGGAGAGGAGAGGAGAGGAGAGGAGACAGGAAAGGCAGAGAGTTCTTAGAAAAACAGAGAAGATATCTCCATCCGTCCATTCGTCCGTCCCCCCGTCCCTCCCTCCCTCCCTCCCTCCCTCCCTCCCTCCCTCCCTCCCTCCCTCCCTCCCTCCCTCCCTCCCTCCCTCCCTCCCTCCCTCCCTCCCTCCCTCCCTCCCTCCCTCCCTCCCTCCCTCCCCTCCCTCCCTCCCTCCCTCCCTCCCTCCCTCCCCCTCCCTCCCTCCCTCCCTCCCTCCCTCCCTCCCTCCCTCCCTCCCTCCCTCCCTCCCTCCCTCCCTCCCTCCCTCCCTCCCTCCCTCCCTCCCTCCCTCCCTCCCTCCCTCCCTCCCTCCCTCCAAGGAGTAGAGTGGAATGGAGTGGGGTGGAGTGGAGTGGAGTGGAGTGGAGTGGAGTGAGCGTACAGTGAGTGCAGGGCGGAGAGGGAGGAGAGCCACGAGAGTTCATCCACGGTGCCGGTAAGCAAGCAGCCGTCTTCTCCCAGGGCGCTGCAGGGAGCGACGCACGCAGGGTGGGACACGTGCAGGGGGCAATGCGGCACATGCAGCGGGATGGGACTCGTGCAAGGGGATGGGGGATGGGTGCATGCAGAGGGATGGGGCACAAACAGGGGGGGATGCGGCACATCCAGGGAGGTGGTGCACAAACAGGGGCAAAGCAGGCAGCACATATAGGGGGAAAGGGAATGAGTCATGTGGAGAGTGGGGAGGTGTGCACTGCACATAATGGTGAGAAAAGAATGTGATGGCAATCATGCACGGGAGGAGAGGACGCCACAGAAAAACGAGGTTAATACACGAGGTCAACCCTGCCAAACAAGCTACTCTGGTGTCATAGTCAGTAATTTGCTGCCACGTATTGCACCATGGCCTCGAAATGGGGCTCGATTGAAAAACGAGGTTAACGCACGAGGTCAACCCTGCCACACAAGCTGCAGCGGTAGGAGCGGACGAGTGGGACGGGCTGTGATGGGATGAAAGGTGTGCTTCTTGCGATGGGAGACGAGAGGAGGTGTGTGTGACGCACAGGTAGGTGAGGCGGGTGAGAGGTGAGAGGAATGGCATGGCGCCCTCCAGGTTGATACCGTATGTGAGATCACTGCAGGCACATATAAGGATGTGTGGTATTTGCAAGGGGATTGCAGAATTTGCAAGGAGTTTGCATTAATCTGCAAGGGATGTGCAGAAAATCGCAAGGGATGTGCAGAAAATCGCTAGGGATGTGCAGAAAATCGCTAGGGATGTGCAGAAAATTGAAAAGGGTATTGCAGAAATTCGCAGAGGGTTTGCAGAAAGTTGCAAGGTCTGCTAGGGATTAAGAAAGATCGTGCAAGAAATTCAGTTGCAGAGCAAGGCCCGGGCAGGAAGAGAAAGGTGGGCTGGGGGAAGGGGGTGGGCGGGAGGCGAGAAGAGGGGGAGGGGAAGGGGGGGAGGGGGGGTGAGGGGAGGGGGGTTGGGGATGGTCAAGTGATTTTGCAGAGGAAGTACGGAAGGGGAGTGGGGAAGCAGAAAGCATGATGCACTGAAACGGGGCAGCAGCGCACAAGGAGGAAATGAGGACGAGGCCAGATCTGGGATGAGCAAAGGAAGAGACGAAGGCACGCTGGTGCAAGCAGGCAGGATGAGAGGGAAAGGGAGAGGGGGAGGGAGGGGAGAGGGAGAGGGAGAAGGAGACGGGGAGGGAGAGGGAGAGGGAGAGGGAGAGGGCAGCATGGACGGACAGGTACTGAAGGGTGGCGAGGTCAGTGATGGCAGCAGGAATGGCGCCGGTGGGAGGAGGATCCCCGGCAAAGGCCTTGGAGTCCCTGCCATCACGCACACACACACACACACACACACACACGCACGCACGCACACACACACACACACACATACACACACACACACACACACACACACACACACACATGTACAGCCCGTAGGTGACCACACACACATGCACTCGCACACACGCGACCCACACCCACCCACCCACCCAATCACCCACCTACCCGCCCACCCACCCACCCAACCAGCCACCCACCGAGCCACCCCCCCCTCACACACACGCACATGCACGCACGCACACACGAACACACACACACACACACACACACACACACGCGGGTAGGGACACATTTTCGCACACGCTCATGCGCACACACACATGTCGAGCCACCCACTCACTCACAGGCCAACGGCGAACCCTTTCCAGCTGCAGCACAGCACAGCACAGCACCGCACCGCACGGCACGGCACGCGACTCACAGGGCAAGGACGAGCCCGTTGGGGCTGCAGGTGACGCCAGCCCACGCCGAGCACGCCGTGGTGGCGTTGCTGTTGCCCGCCCACGCGCCCCACGCCTCCTGCAGCTGCACCAGCGCGCGCACTGCGCGCCCGCGCCCCAGGTGCGTGGGGATGATGATGATGATGATGATTGAAAATTATGAGGTGATCGATTATGAGGTCATGGAGACGATGGGGAAGGCGGGGTGATGGGAGGAGTGGGGCGATGGGGAATGGGACGATGGGAAAACGGGTTCATGGAGGGAACGGTTGGGGGCGGCGTGATGGGGAAAACGGGGAGCTGACGGTAATGGGGATAAAAAGGAAAACGCGGATACTCAGAGTAATCGAGATACAAACGGGGATAGTGGGGGAAACGGGGAGGCAGTGATACAGGCACCATACTTCAGACTGCACCAATGCACACTCACTCACTCCCAATACCCCACTGCTCGCCCTCTCCCATTCCAGTGCCCCATTCCCAATGCCCCCATTCCCAATGCCCATTCCCAATGCCCCATTCCCAATGCCCCATTCCCAATGCCCCCATTCCCAATGCCCCATTCCCAATGCCCCATTCCCAATGCCCCATTCCCAATGCCCCATTCCCAATGCCCCATTCCCAATGCCCCCATTCCCAATGCCCCCATTCCCAATGCCCCATTCCCAATGCCCCATTCCCAATGCCCCATTCCCAATGCCCCCATTCCCAATGCCCCCATTCCCAATGCCCATTCCCAATGCCCCATTCCCAATGCCCCATTCCCAATGCCCCATTCCCAATGCCCCATTCCCAATGCCCCATTCCCAATGCCCCATTCCCAATGCCCCATTCCCAATGCCCCATTCCCAATGCTCAACGCCCAATTCCCCATTCCCTCCAATCCACCCTTCCCTCATCCCCATACTCACACTGCGACGCTGCCAGCGCCGCGGGCCTCGGAGCAGCGGCGGCAGCGGCGGCGGCGGTAACTTCAACCCGCAAAAGCGCGCGGCGCTCCTGCGCTTCGCCGTGGCTCCTCCCGCCTTCTCCGCGGTTGCGCCAGGAGCTGGAGTTCCCCCGCCCGTTGCGCCAGGAGCTGGAGTTCCCCCACGCGGCACTGCGGAACTCGCGCCACGCGCCGAGAGACGGATCCGCCGCATGGCGGAGCGGCGAAGGCGCGCGCAGGCGGAGCTGCGGGGGAGGCGCGCGGAGGTTGCCGCCGCGCGGAGGGGGAGGACGGTGGCGAGGGTCGGGGCGCCGAGGCGGGGAGGACAGCGGCGGGGGCGCGGCGTTGCGGGGAAAGCAGTCGGCGGCGGCGGTGAGGATGAGGAGAGGTACGAGGAGCAGGCGCGCTGCGGCCGCCAGCACTTGCGGACACGAGAAAACGGCGCTGCTGCTGCTGCTGCTGCTGCCGCTGCTGCCGCCGCTGCTGCTGCTGCTGCTACGGCCCCTCAGGCTCGTAGGGGAGTGAGAGCTGGCCGCGCGCCGCCGTGCACTATTGCCAGTGAGACTAGTAGCGCTACTACTCGTAGTGCTTCTACTGAGGATGCTGCTGCTGTCCAGCACGTGTGCAGCGCTTGTGCTACTAGGGAGAGTGATAGCACTAGCGCGTCGGGTGCGGCGAAGATTGAATGGCGGCGTCATGGAAGGTGAGATTGGTGAGCGAGAGAGGGGCGTGGCGAGATGAGGGGGAGAGAGAGAACAGAGAGAAACAGAGAGAGACGCAGTCCGGACGTTCTCAAACACCTTCGACGAGCCAAGTGGCAACGGTGCACACGCCGCCGGCGGTCGCTCAGATGTTATTACTAGTACTTCTACTGGTACTGGTACTACAAGGAACTGGGGCGACCTCGATTAGTAGTACGAGGTTGTGACCCGGCGACGTGACGTGCGGCGGCCGGGGAGAGGAAAACCAGAATGCATCAAAAGTACTTGGGAGAATTCTCAAAAGTGACTACCACTACCACTACTGTACTATGACGCGGCGGAATAGCCCCCACTTGAAGCTCGTTTCACACAGAAGAATGATGGTTTTGCGGCCGCGTCCCTCAACGTCCAACCAACCAACCCATTCCTCAGTGGAGGAAACGAAATGAAGCAACTCTGATGAGAGTGAGTGTATGTGAGAGAGCTCAACTGGCAGGCCCGTCCAGGTGTGAAGGCATGTTGTCTCACTTCACAACAACTCACAAACAACCACGCGTCACTCTGCTGAAGGGTCACTCACTCACGATGACGTCCTCTGCTCTACTTGCAGCACCGTTCGTGTGCTTGAGCCAAGTCCGAGATAGCTACACCTGATGCGCGTTTGAGTCACCCTTGGCGGCCTTGGGAAGAGTGCGATTAAGGGCGGATTCCTAGCTTTGGGACATCCCATCTTTGAGTCATCCGAAATTGTGGGATCCAATCGAAAAACCGGAAGCTCGAATTGCGAGTTTCCCTACTATTGGATCCCACAATCCCGGATGACTCAAAGACCGGATGTCCCGAAACTAGGAATCCGCCCTAAGTGATTCTTTCATTTCGCACATGTTCATTGCCGTCGTCACGGTCATTGGGGGCTTGTAAAAAAAAGTGGTAACCACTCGTTCGTCTTTTCCGGAACAGTGCAGTGTGGCAGTGTTTGTTGGTTTTGCTCACATAGAGTTACCACTTTTTGTTCTCGTCCTTTGTAGCACCCGATTACACAAACATTCACAAACCCACACAAACATTCCCAATGCCTTCCCCAACCAATCCTCGCCCTCCAGCTCTGCATGTTCAAATTTCAATCGGGCCTATTGCCAGGGCACCAGATGTGCACAAACTGTGCGCATTTGGTCTTAGAGGAGAGTCAACATGCTCGAAGAGTTGTCCCAACCCTTCACAGTGTTATCCATTCGACGACGTCAACGTAGCCGCCCATGACAGTGCCGACCCCAGAGTCGAAGATTTCCTGGCGGGTGCGGGGAGGCGCCGTCATCCACGCCGGCAGCACCCGCCTACGACGATGCGGAGTGCTCGCCTGCGCGGGAGTGGTAGGCACAGCAGCGCGGCAGCCCGCAGAGCTGGCGGAGGCGTGGAGTTGAGGTTGAGGGGGGGGCTTGCCCGCTCCATCCGATCGACGATGATCGGATTCTTGATCTCGAAAGGGCGCAAAGGTCGCGCGGAGTGATGCAGGTCGCACGGGCGTAGCCGATGAGCATCTCGCATGCCGCCCATGCCGTCCGCCTCACCTCGCGCGACTCCGGGTTCTCGTCCTCGTACACCGCCTGCATGGTCAAGCGGCTGGGTGAATGCGGTCGTGTTGGGCGGTAGGAACACGAGCCGAATGTTGCTCAGCGAGCGAGTTCGGAAGCCGGACAGGTCCTCGACTTCCGCGTCATCGCTCTTGATGACGTGACTGCTGGCGTTATCCAGCAGGTAAACGATGAAGCGGTCCTCCGCGTACATCGCGGCGTTCAGTGTTCGATGAAATGCGTGAACAGCTACGCATTTTACAGGCGGACGATGGGCAAACACAGGGAAAGCGTGAGTGATATGGGGCGGACAAAGCCAACACACGCAGTAAACTATATTACGAGTTGACCGAACACAAACACATACAAATATGCGGGAAAAATAAAACCAAAGATGCACTTACCGTGCCGTCATCTAGCCTTTGGCGGTGTTACGCCAATACACCAAGTCGTCCAGATCGTAGTCGAGGAGGAAGTCGCGCGGGCGCTTGGACTTTGAAATGACAAGTGGGTGGAACTGTCAAACTTTGAAATGCTGAGCGCCGCATTGGCTTGGTCATGGAGGTCGCTCGTACCTCCTTGGTTCATGCGGCTGCCCCCCACTTTCTGTGGCCGTTTGCAGTCCGATACGCTGCGCATCAGCTCAACCTCTGGCCCCGTGTCTCCTTGCCCGAGACTTCTCCGACACTGCGTTGGACGGGAGAGGCTGGCGATGCGTCGCGTTTTCGGGTCTGGGGATCCCGAGCTTTTGTCCGCGACACGTCCGCGGACAAGCTCTCCCGTCGCGCTGTCCCCTGCGTCTTCCTTGGCTTTGTCCCGGACGCCCCTGGTTGGCAGTTCTACCACCCCACCTCGCGGCGTGTCCTGGCCTCTCAGGACGTCACTTTTGACGAGTCCGTCCCCTACTACCGCCTCTTCCCCTACCGCACTGCCCCGCTCCCCCCCCCGCCTCTCTTCCTCGCTCCAGGTGCAGAGGTACCAGACCCCCTCCCCCCTCAGGGTGCCGCTCCCTCAGGTGTGTCCCAGGTAGACCCGGGTGAGCCTGTCGAGGTAGCTGTTGACTCTCGTCCTGCGTCTAGGGGTGCTGAGTCTGGGGGTGCTGAGTCTGGGGGTGCTGAGCCTGGGGGTGTTGAGCCTGGAGGTGCGGAGCCTGGGGGTGTTGAGCCTGGAGGTGCGGACCCTGGAGGTGTGGAGCCTGGAGGTGCTGAGCCTGGGGGTGCGGAGTCTGGGGGTACTGAGACTGAGCGTGCTACACCTGGAGGAGCCCTCTCCTCCCAGCAGCTGCAGGAGAGGTACCTCGAGTACTGTCGCCTCCGGAGAGGTGCTGCTGGAGCTCGTCCCGGTACTTCCCCTCCTACCCAGGAGCTCCCCCCCATTCAGCAGATCCGAGAGTGGTACACGCGACGCTGCAGTCTTCGGAGTGGTGCTCCGGGTGCTGCGGACCCTGGGGGTGGCACTGCTGCTGGTGCTGAGGACCCGGGCGTTGGAGCTGCTGCTGGTGCTGAGGACCCGAGCGGTGGCGCTGCTGCTGGTGCTGAGGACCCGAGTGGTGGAGCTGCTGCTGGTGCTGAGGACCCGAGCGGTGGAGCTGCTGCTGGTGCTGAGGACCCGAGCGGTGGCGCTGCTGCTGGTGCTGAGGACCCGGGCGTTGGGGCTGCTGCTGGTGCTGAGGACCCGGGCGTTGGAGCTACTGCTGGAGCTGAGGACCCAGACGGTGGAGCTGCTGCTGGTGCTGCGGAGCCGAGCGGTGGCGCTGCTGCTGGTGCTGAGGACCCGGGCGTTGGAGCTACTGCTGGAGCTGAGGACCCGGGAGTTGGAGCTGCTGCTGGTACTGAGGACCCTGCCGCTGGTGTCTCTGCTGGTTCTGGAGACGCTGCGCGGCCGCGACCGTACTTCGTACCACTTCTTCAGCAGGTTCTTGGTCAGGCTCCTCCTCCTTGTCCTCCTCCCTCCGTAGAGTGTCCTCTGCCTGTCCAGTCGCAGTCACAGTTCCCGCCTGCCTCGCCTCTCCCTGCTCCCTCTCCTTACACTGGTCCCACAGGAGGTCTTACAGAGCGTCGTGAGCCTGAGTCTCGTCCTGCGTCGCCTGTTCGTACTGCTCGCACTGGTCGTCGTGTCCCACGTGAGCGTCCTCCTCCTGTCCCTGGCACTCACTACATGACTCTGCGTCCCTCCACTGCTCCTCAGCGTGTCCCGCTACCGTCTCCTCCTGCTTCCTCTCTGCCTACTCTTCCTGACCCGGAGTCTGACTCCCGTCGTGCTGCCAGTCCCACTGTCACCCGTCTCCTCGCTACTGTTGTCACTGACCCGACCTTTGAGTCCTCTGCTGCGTCTGCTCTAGTCGCTGAGTTGATAGACTTTGCTGCCCGCTGTCGTCTAGACTACGCCACTAGCCTTGTTGCTGAGTCTGAGTCTGTCTGTCCTCCGTCCGTCGGGGGTGAGTGTGCTCTTGGCACGGACGTCCTTGAGGACAGACAGGAGGAGTTCCAGTGCTTTGCTGCTGCTTTACCCCACCTCGTGTCCATGCTAGTTGCCCCTGAGGGAGACCCGGATGCACCAGACATCCCGACCCCGCGCACTTACGCTGAGGCGATGGCGGGTCCCTACTCCTCTCAGTGGCAGACAGCCATGGACGCAGAGATGGCTTCCTGGAAGTCCACACGCACCTACGTCGACGAGGTTCCCCCACCTGGGGCGAACATCGT